ATGGGGTTTCACATGCATATAAGGTGATTAAAAATACCACAGGCATTGTGGTCAGGTGGAACCTGTTCATAGACAAAAACAGTCTTTCCAACAGAACAGGAGATACTGCATGGTTAAAAATCAAGAAACGTGTGTCTCAGGGTTGCATCATTTTACCATACTTAGTCAATTCTTATCCTGAGCAAATAATATAAGAAACTAGACTATATGAAGAACAATGTGGCTTCAGGAATGGAGTAAAACTCATTAACTGTAATATGTAGATGATACAAACTTACTTATTGAAAATGAAGAAAATTTGAAGCATTTACTGATGACGCTCAAAGACTACAGCTTTCAGTATGGGTTACACCTCAGTGTAAAGAAAACAAAAATCTTCACTGCTGGGCCAATAAACATCATGATAAATGGAGGAAAATTGAAGTTGTCAAGTAGTTCATTTTGCCTGGATCCACAATCAGTACCCATGAAAGCTGCAATCAAGAAATTAAACGGGTGTATTGCATTGAGCAAATTTGCTGCGAAAGACCACTTTAAAGTTTTAAAAAAGCAAAGTGTCACTTTGAGGACTAAGGTGCTCCTGACTCAAACCATGGTCTATTCAATCACCTTATATGCTGGACAATGAATAAAGAAGGAAGACTGGAGAATTTTAGATATGTGTGTATTGTTGTTAAGTGCCGTTGAGTCTGTTCTGACTCATAGTGACACTGAATAGGGTTTCCAAGGAGTGGCTGGTGAGTTTGAACTGCTGACCTTGTAGTTAAAACCAAACTTGTGATTCAGTGCTTGTCCTTCAATGCCATACCAGGATTCCCGGTGTGACTGTGAGTCAGAACCCACTCCATGACACTCCACCACCATATCTTTGAAATGTACAAACAAACCCACTGCTATAGAATCAATTCTGACTCATCATGACCCCCATTTGGGTTAGCAGTATAGTGCTTATCCTACAGTGCTACCAGGGCAATGTACATATATTTGTCTGTGTATTTATGCATGGTGGTTGGTGGTGATGTGCTATGCAGTCGGTTCCAACTCAGCGACCCTATACAGGGTGTGCAAGGTTGTAAATCTTTAGAGGAGCAGAAAGCCTCACCTTTCTCACACGGAACAGCTGGTAGTTTCAAACCGCTGACCTTGAAGTATCAGCCAGACCACTAGGCTACCAGAGCTTATATATGTTCATACATATTACTTCTTCCATGTAAAACTTCTGCTATCTTAATACTAATAATTTTTAACTTTTTTGATCCTGTTGTAAATCAGTCTTGGATGAGGAAGGTCATATTGTAAATTAAATAAGTTTGTGAAGTTTGAGACATTCTCGGCCCCCCATGTACCTGTTATTATTTATTGATTACTTACTATGTTCTAGAAAGAGCCCCTAGTGGTGTCTCTGTTCTGTCGGAGAAAGAAAGGCAGTCCACATCTGTAAAGATTGCAGCCTCAGAATTTGTTTGCCACAGTTCTACCGTATGCTATAGGGTGACTATATTTTTGTGTCAGAATTTATGCAATGGTGGTATGTTTGGTTTGGGTTAGTGTGTTTCCAGACCCTGTGATAAAGATGACGTTAAAATACCAATTTCTGACCACTGTTGTAGTTAAGTTCCATAGATTCAGTTGCAACTCATAGTGACCAGGATAGGGTTTCCAAGGAGTGGCTGGTGGATTTGAGCTGACAACATTTTTGTTAGCAGTCCAGTGCCTATCCTACAGTGCCACACCAAAACTCCTACACTTCTCTACATAAGACTTTTACCATTTATAAGTAGTATAATGATATGTGTTGGGCCCATAAGGTCAGTGGTTCAAATCTACCAGAAACACTCTATGGGAGAAAAATGAGGCTTTCTGCTCCCATGAAGATTTATAGCCTTGGAAACCCTATACAGGGTCGCTATGAGTTGGAACAGACTTGATGGCACTTCACCACCACCATTACCATGTATTAAGTACTTACCTCTGAGTCTTGGAATGTCATCAATACTGTTGAACCACAGTAAGTTGGAACTTGGACTGATATGTGACCCCGGATATCATCCTTCACACTCATTATCAATGATTGTATCTCTCAGAACTTTACTGACTTTATTGACAGAAAGTTATTGACAGACTTATTTACTGATTTTGGTTACAAGTAACTTTAATTTAAATGTATAAAATACAGTTACGATAAGCTGTTTTTATTTTCTTTATATATTTGCCTCTTAAGATTTTAATCACCAAAAAAGTAATCACCAAGAAATCTCCTAAAAACAAAGTTGGTTGGTAAGATAAACCATTTCAAATTATTTCACTCGTGAGATAATATTTTTACAATGCTCTCCCAATGGGTGGGCACCCAGCTTTCCCAGCAGCTGGGTACACATGCCACTGAGCATCCCTGGTACAATTTCCAGGCTTACTCAGCTGGCGGGCCCACCAGGCAGACAGGCAGACAAGTAATAGAGCCAGCCACTGGCTAAGGTTCAAAGAACCGGAGGTTGGAGGACAATCTAGATGCAAGATCCAGATCCCACAAACAAGAGAGCAGACCACAGCCCCAAGGAATCATCCTTTCAATTGATTCGCTGCTCGTAGCCAATCATCACAGAGTTAACTATGCCTGCTCGTAGCCAATCATCAAAGAGTTAACTGTGCCTGCTCATAGCCAATCATCATAGCATTCACTACACTGTGTAAAATCTCACCATGGAGATAACCACATCTCAACTACCAAATAACTAGGAATCCTGGCCCAATCAAGTTAACACAAAACCTTAACTATCACATCATGATATCATAAAAACCAAAGTCTTAAGTCATAGTGGTTTAGGAATCATATACCATACAGTTAAGGTCATAGGTAATAAGGAAGAAACAGTGACTGATTTTAACATGTATATGCCACAAGGACTCGTGGTGTGGTGCTGTAGAATCAGTGCTGGGCGGCGAACCACAAAGTCAGCAGTTTAAACCCACCAGCTGCCCCTCAGAAACCCTATACAGGGTCGTTATGAGTCAGAACTGACTTTATGGCACTTTGCAACAACAATATATATACTACAGAGGAGTCCTGGTATGGTTCTGTAGGATAAGCACTGGACTGCTAGCCACAAGGTCAGCAGTTCAAACCTCCAGTCACTCCTTGGAAACCCTGTACTGGATTGCTATGTGTAGGAAGCGACTCTCCAGCATTTAATAACAACAATAACAATATGCCACAGAGGAGTCCGCTGTAGCCAGCATAAGCACTGAATTACTGATCACAAGGTTGGCAGTTGAAATACTCCAACTACTCCGCAGGAAAAAGATGTGGCTTTCTGTTCATGTATTCTTCATACCATGACTTGTATTCAGCCAACCAGTGAATACGTATCAAGCACCTATAGCAACAGGAATGGAAAAGTCGAGTGAGGTATAGTTGGAAGGAGGTTAGAGGCCTTGGCTTAAAGAAATGTAAACTGTGATTTTGAACCAAGACAAATGTATGAATAACAGAAGCCGGTAAACATCACGAAAGACTTGTATACAGAGTATAGGCAGAGAGATCATGCTGAATTCTGTGTGGTCCAGAAGACCTTCATAGATGTTGGACGACACACATGTTCTTGTTGGAGGTGGAGGTTGTGGCTCTGATCTCAGGCAGAAATGGATATTTCAAGACAAAGATACTTTTGTGTATAAATTTCCTTTACGTAGCCTAGAAATGGGCACTTTCTTGTTTTTCTGAGGGAGTATAATCATTAGTTACTTATTGGAATACACAGTGTGGCAATTGTATGTGTTGGTTTTTTTTATTATTGTTGTGTGTTATTGAGTCATTTCCAATTAATAGCAAACCTGTATAGGGTTTCTGAGAGCAACAGGTGGGTTTGAACCACTGACCTTATGGTTGCAGTCCAGTGCCTAGCCTACAGCCAGCGCCACAAAAAGGAATCCAAATGCCATTAAGTCGTCTTGGTGCTGCCTTGACAGGCTGGTGTGATTAGGAAACAGCACCGTCTAGTGGCCAGAGTACAGAGTGGTTCTCAGGAACATGGTTCTTCAGAGTTCTTGTTAGGTGCCTTGGTGGAGTTGCCTCAGACTCCTAGGGAGCCTGTGCTTAACAGAAGGACACACTGCAGGGTCTTGTGCCTTCCTCCCAATTGTTGCTCCACCTGAGCCCATTGCTGCTGCCACTGTGCCAATCCATCTCATTGATGTCTCCCTCATTTTCGCTGTCCCTCCGCTTTACCAAGCATGATGTCCTTCTCCAGGGACCAGTCCCTCTGGATAGCAGCCTGTATTCTTGAGTGTGCACATATGTCACATATGAAGTGAAACAAAAAGTGCAATCAACCTATCACTACTTCATGCTGCACTTCCCAATACCGAGGAAGGAAAGTCTAGACAACCAGACTTTTAAAATGGCCCTGCATGTCTTAAATGAATCCAAGAAATCTATGTAAACAGTTGTTTCTATAAGTTGTTACTGAGTCGTAGCTACTCTGTGTAGTGTTCATGAGGAGTAGAAAACCTCATCTTTCTCAGGCAGAGTGGCTGGTTGGTTTGAACTGCCAATTTTAACAGTTAACAATCCAATGCTTATCCTAGAACACCACCAGAGATCCATGCAAACAGTTGTTGTTGGTTGCAGTCCAGTGCCTATCTTACAGCCATGACTCTCAGCAATGCTATATAGGGTTTACAAGGGATGTCTGGTGAGTTTGAACCAGGGACCTTGCAGATTTCAGTCCACTGTTTATCCTACAACACCACACCAGGACTCCTGTAAATAGTAGGGGGAGATTTATTTACTGGAAATAAGATATAATGGGGGTGTTGACGGCACTTAACAACAACATAAAGGTATTACTTTCAAAGGAAAGGTAGTCATTATGAATTACATTATTTTATTTTAAAAATGTGTTGTAACAAGATCCATGCAATAGCTGTTACTCCTGGGAAAGTGGAAAATTAAAGAGATGTCATTTGATGCATCGGATGATTCTTCTTTTTTAAAATATCAGAGCAGAATACAAACCAGAGAAACTGCCTTCACATTCCTTTGAGGTGGACCATGAAGATGCCGATAAAGATGAAGTAAGTAAATTGTTGAAAAGTCAAATGTTTTAAACATGAGGATCATTAGTTCCTTGCTCGTGGTAGAACACTTCTCATTCTGACCCGGTTTTCCATAAGCTGCAGTATTTGTTGTGTTAAGGCTTTTAGTCAAGATGAATGACATTTGTTGTGAAATTGAACATGAGTGTTTAAGATGAGTCAGGGAGAGAGAAAAGAGTCTCATTTTTAAGTGCAGTGTCTCAGATCTGGGATTTACAAAAGAAGTCGCTGTGATACAAATGATGCCTTTTGTACAGGATACAACATCCCACTCATCTTCCAAGGGCGGTGGAGGCACAGGAGGAACCGGCGTGTTCAAGTCTGGCTGGCTCTACAAAGGGAATTTTAATAGCACCGTGAATAATACCGTCACTGTTCAGGTAAGGACACATGGAGACTCATTTTCTGGTTCACTCACCTTTCATGACACCCCACTTGTGGCCATAGCATAGAGGATAGCCATTGGCATTCAGCTTATAGATTACATCATCTTTTTTTTTAAATGTATGAAGACGTATGATAGACTTTTCCAGAAGAGTATCCCAGAAATCTAGCACTCCTGAAGGAATCAGAAGTGTTTAAACCCCGTGAGTAATAAATGTATGCTGCAATCTGACTTACCATACCCTTTTTTATTTTCCCCATATTTAGTCTTTCAAAAAGCGCTACTTCCAGCTGACACAATTGCCAGACAACTGCTATATCATGAATTTTTACAAAGATGAAAAAATATCCAAAGAGCCCAAAGGCTGCATCTTTTTGGATTCATGTACAAGTGTGGTGCAGGTGAGTAGAAATCCCTTGGCCCCCTTGGGTGTTTTAGTCAAAAGATGGGCTCATCCATTCATCAGTCACTCATTGAATAAATAGTTGTTACCTGATTCAACAAATATTCAAATATCTCATGTAAGCTAGTCATTATTCTAGACTCTGGAGATTCCATGGAGAACAAGGTAGTCTTGGTCCCTGCTTTTATGTAACTTTCTTTTCAGTATTGTTGTTGTTGTTGTTATTGTAAGGTGCCATTGAGTCAGTTCAGATTCAAAGCAAACTTATGCAAAACAGAATGAAACACTGCCCAGTCCAGTGTCGACCTTTCAATGGTTGTTACAATTGAGCCCATTGTTGCGGACACTGTGCCAATCCATCTCTCTGGGGGGTCTTTCTCTTTTTCGTTGACCCTCCACTTTACCAAGCATGATGTCCTTCCTGTTAATACGTCCAGAGTAGGAGAAACTAAGTCATGCCATGCTGACTTTTAAAGAGCATTCTGGTTGTATTTCTTTGTTCAAATACAGATTTGCTTGTTCTTTTGGCAGTTCATGGTTCTTTTAATACTTTCTTCCAACACCGTTACTCAGATGTATCAATGCTTCTATGATCTTCCTGTTTATTGTCCAACTTTCATAGGCATATGATTGAAATTACTATGGCTTGCGTGAGGCACACCTTAGTCCTCAATCTGATATCTTTGCTCACGAACACTTTAAAGAGTTTTTTTGCAACTGATTTACCTAAGGCAATATGTCATTTGATTTCCTTGCTGCTGCTTCCCTGAGTGTTGATGCTTTGTTGTTGTTAAGTGCCATTGAGTCTGTTCCGATTCTTAGCGAACCTGTATAGGGTTTCCAAGGAACAGCTGGTGAGCTTGAACCACCAACCTTAAGGTTCAAACCGACTTTGAAACCCAGTGCATATTGATGGTTGTTAGTTGTTCTTAGGTGCCATCAAGTCAGTACTGACTCACAGCAACCCTACATACAACAGAATGAAACACTGCGCAGTCTTGGGCCAACCTCACAATTTTTGCCATGCTTGAGCCCATTGAGGCTGCCATTTTGCCAATCCATCTCGCTGGGGTCTTCCTCTTTTTCTCTCACCCTCCATCTTACCAAACATAATATCCTTCTC